TCATGTATGGTGGATGTGACATGAACGCCAATCATTTTACTAGTGAGGTACTGTTTCTCCAAATTTTTTTCAATTAGCTGATTTTTGACATCCAAAGTTTGTTGTCACTCAATGGGAAAGTCTGTCTTACTCTTACATCGGTCTCCCATTTTAGTAAGCACTATTACTTTAATTTGAGGAAAATGTTGTCACGGCAGTGCTTCTTTCATCTCCTCTTTAAAAGTTTGAAATGAGAGGCAATTGAGCCATTGACCCAAACCCTGATCTATACGCAGGAAGATACTGTGATTCAGGATCTAATAGCTCATTTTTCAAACACTTAACAAATCAAAAAGCAATGATTTCTTAAGGCAGATTTGTACAGAAACCTCTATTCAAATGACACAATTGTATAAACAATAATACATCGAAGTCTCTGCTGCATTTTGTCATAAACTTCCATCACAGGAGGATTGTGAACGAGCTTGTGGTTCGTGGAGAGCAACAGCCGTTTGCTCGCTACCTCCAGAAATTGGTCACTGCGAGGCTTCAGTAAGCAAATGGTACTACGACAAGGCGAAGGGCACCTGCCAAATCATGTATTGGACTGGCTGCGGTGGAAATGGAAATAGGTCGCTTACGGTAGAATCAGAGAGTAAGCGAAATTACAATGTTCAATACATTCAGATTCTCGTCAAGAGAAGACTGCGAATCTCTTTGTCGTGAAGAAATCTCTTGGGAGCGTAGCACAGACATTTGGTTAGTGCTAGTTGTCCATATTAAACTCATCTACTTTGAAATATTTTTCAGCAAAATGCCACGATCATCTGGACCATGTCGTGACGCAATCTCAATGTGGTATTTTGATTCCGATGACGGGGCCTGCAAACAGTTTACCTATTCCGGATGTCGTGGTAACGAAAACAGGTTTGCTGCTAAAATTTAAGAATTTCTCCTTCTCACACGTTGAAGGTAATACTTAAGGTTCCCCACGAAAGAACGTTGCGAGCGGAGATGCATAGAAAAGATAGAAGATGAAGCCTTTGATGTAATCATAGGAGAAGAGGACACTTTGGATAAGGCTAGGCACAAAGTTGATGTGCAGTTGCGAGCTAACTCGAAGGATTATGCCGCTGGAGATAAAGTAATTTGCTAGTTTATAATGAAACGTTAACTGAATTTTGATCAAACTCGGATAGAATTGAAGCAGCAAAAGTTATTGGGATCAGGATTTGTCTTCGATTAAAAGTTAAATCCTTCACTCTCAAATTTTAATGACATACTGCGCATTTACAATCTAAATATGACAAAAAACCACTTTGTCAAGCTCAATTTCAAGGCAAATAATCATTGTAAAAGCATTCAGGTTTTTCTTCCCCAACAAGGTTAATAAGTTTTCACACATATCATATGAAGTATAGAAGTAACTTCTTAGACTAACTATAGCTTTGAAATCTCAAGAATATGTCTAGAATCTCGTTACCATAACTAGACGAGTGCGTCTCAGTATCTGAAATTGCCAACAATGTTTGGAAAACACCTAGTTTATTTTCTGAAAAAGTTCTGCGCTGCTTTTTGGCCAGGCAACTCAGGGAAAAATCTCTCTTTATCCTCATAAATGAGAAGGGAAAGAATTTGCCATTAGTAGAAAACAATGGTAATCTAATGAGATTTAATTTGCGGTGTACAAACTCCCAAAGTTCTTCTTCGCCTTTTGAACATCTCGGTCACCGCACCATTCCATTCAGATTGAATTGACATGTGACAGTGAGGAACTGCAGCCGATTGTTTGGCGAAAAGATGGGCACTTGCTACAATTTAGCAGGAGAGTGCAGGTAAGTCAAATATTCCTAATCTCTCTTTTTCCCAATTTCCTCACAATATATGTTCTCAGGAGCATGACCAGTTCAAGAAAGTGGTCATTATTCGAGCTGTGCCAGCAGACAGTGGTAATTATCAGTGCGCTGCTGGTGCAGATGGTGTTGAGAGCAATACTCTTACAATTACCGTTACCTGTAAGTATTTGTTTTCACTCTTATTCCGCAAACAAAAGCGCAATTTGAAAGTTTTAGCAGTCACAACTACACCTGAAACTCCTGTTTGCACGAAAGATGTTGGTACGCAGAAAACATGTGCATTAATAGTGCAGAATGGTTTGTGTGCCAAGAAACGATATAGAAAGTTCTGCTGTAAATCGTGCTCATCTTCATAAAATGACTATATGTCCAGTTTCTCCTAAGTTAATTTTGATTTGATCTACGTGTCTTATAAGTGTGCTTAAGAGTTTTAATTATCCTTAAAGCATGACATGACGCTGCATCTCCGATGATTCAACCATCTGTTGAAATTTTTTTGAAATCCTTGCCTGCATATTGGTTCTTAAATGCCTTGTTTCAAAATACACTTGCTAATCGTTTTGTTCTTCTCTTATCATGCTCTTCGATAAATATTTCAAACGTTTAAGTTGTTTATAGAATATTGTTAACTATCATTTCAAAGCAGGAATTTATTAAAAACAAGTCTCTTCTTGAGTATTTAAGTGGAGTGGCTCAAGGAAAATAAACTGTGAAAAACCTCCTATTATGCGGCCAACTTCGACATTTTTTACTATACAGCTGTTTCAATCGAGAAAAAAAA